AGGGACATAGAAAGGGAATGGACTGACTATTCTTGGGGGGAAAGGGGTGTGGGAGATGTGGGAAGATACTGGACAAAAATTGTGCACCTATGGATGAGGACAGTGGGTGGGGAGTGAGGGCAGGGGTGGGGCGGGAACTGGGAGGAGGGGTATAATGGGGGGAAAAAAGAGGAACAAATGTAATAATCTGAACAATAAAGATTTAATTAAATAAAAAAAAAGAAACTTGTTACTGATCACTAGAGTGAACCTTTGGCCAGAAAATGGACAGAAAGTAGACATACTTACTACAAACAACATTTGCCAGTCACCAAATGCAAAGTTCTATTGGTTACACCTTTAGATGACAGCTAAAAATACAGAGAATCATTCTCTTCCCATGCAGAATATATTCTGTGACTTAAAAACGAACAGCAGACAATACTTGGCAGAAGGAAAATTCACTTAGATAGCAAATTCACTAATTTAAGGTACCTATTTATAAGGTGACTAGAGGCCCGGTGCACAAATTCGTGCACAGGTGGGGTTTGGCTGGGGAGAGGGGCCGAGGGCAGTTGGCCAGCCAGCCCCGACCCCTGGTCAAACTCCCAGTCGAGGGGATAATTTGCATATTAACCTTTTATGATATAGGATAGAAGAAAGATTAATGCCTCAATTGCTTAAATGATAAAGATTGTGCAATAAACTCATGGCGTATGAAAATCAACTTAAAACACTAATGACTTAAATCCAGGGAGGCCTATATTTCTTTACGTGAAAAGAAATATGAAGTGTTGGTGAGAATGTGGAGAAATGGGAACATTTATACACTTCTAGTGGGAGTATGAATTGGTACAACCACTTTGGAAAAGTGTTTGGCAGCATCTCCTAAAGCTAAATATACACATACCCTATTACCCAGCCATTCTACTACTAGGTATATACTTAACAGAAATGTATCTATATGTACAGCAAAAGATGTATTTGAGAATGTTTGTAGCAGCACTTTTTCTAATAGCCTCAAAATGTAAATGACCCCAAATCCCATCAACAGTAGAATGGGTAAATTATAGAATGATCACACAGTGGAATACTGGACAGCAATGAAGATGAACGAGCTACAACTCTATACAACAATGTGAATGACTCTTATAAACATAATATTGATCAAGGGAAGCCAGGCACAATGTAGTGTATACTTGTATGAGTCCATTTGTATGAATTTCAAATACAGGCAAAACAAATCTATGAAGTTAGAAGTCAGGATAGTGGTTATCCTTGGGATTAACATTGTGTAAAAGGCATGAGGGGGATTTCTGGGGGCTGGTGATGTTCTCTTTCTTGCTCTGCGTGTCGGTTAGATAAATCCCATCCAAATCTGTAGAGAATTTTTATGAGTTTATTGAGCCAAACTGAAAACATATGCCAGACACAAGATCTCAAATGCTCCAGAAAATAATAGTTTATAGCTTCTTTTCTGCATTGAAGAGGGAAAGTACATGGAGGTGAGAAAGCAAGGCGGGGATTTGGTTACAAGACAGTTTACAAGATTATGTATTCTCTTGAGGGTTAACACCCCCTTGAGGGGTATTATTTCTGACATCTCAAAGGTGTGTTAGCCTAGATCAGTGTTGGCGAACCTATGACACGCGTGTCAAAGGTGACACGCTTACTCATTTTTTTGGTTGATTTTTCTTTGTTAAATGGCATTTAAATATATAAAATAAATATCAAAAATATAAGTCTTTGTTTTACTATGGTTGCAAGTATCAAAAAATTTCTATATGTGACACGGCACCAGAGTTAAGTTAGGGTTTTTCAAAATGCTGACACTCCGAGCTCAAAAGGTTCGCCATCACTGACCTAGATGCACAAGAACAATGGAAGAGACTGGCTTAAAATTGTTCACTACAGAAGTTATTGGTCTAGGGCATGACTACCCATTGTGACCTGCCCAGTTAGAAATTAATGAACAGATCACCCATAGAACCCCCTTCCCTTTTTTAAATCCATGGATTTGTGTGTATAATTTGTGAAAGTTCAATAAGTTGTATACCTAAAATGCATGTACTATTATGTTTATTTGTTTTACTTTAATAAAAAGTGGGTAATACAATCACCTCCATGAATCAGGCTGAAAAAGGGTTTTCACCAGAATATTGAGATTTCACAGAGTTTTCAAACTCAGAGGCAAGGCAGGTAATGCAAATAAGTAAAGCCAGATGCAATACCATGGGGTCTGGTGTTGGGAACTAGGTAGAAATTCAAATTATCAGACCCCAACCCAGATCTACTGAATCAGAAACTCTGGGAATGGAACCAGTAATCTGATTTTTAACAAGCCCTCCAGTTTTAACAAGCTTGCTTCTGATACATGGTCATGTATGAGAATCACTCACCTAGATGTATTCTAAATCAAAACAGTTTTTTAAAAATCATGTGAGCTTTAAAAAATCCTCTGGCCAGATTTGGCCACAGGTCACTAATTTGTAACTCGTGATGAGAATAAACTGAAAGGGCAAAAACTTAAATTATTTGTATAATTATACCAATTCTGTATTTCCTTTTTCTAAAAAATAACGATAATAATAATAATATGTGGGAATGCTCTTGCCTCAGTTTTATCCTCCCTAGGATTCAGGTATATTTAGGCAGGCCTGGGGCCTGGTGGGGGTCGGCCTTCTGGAATTCTATTTATAAAACAACTCCAGCAACCTACAGGAAAGAACTAATCCCAATGGAAGAAAGAATCAAAGGTACAGAGGTTTCTTTAGAGCAGTAGATGAAGTTGAACATGTCTGAGTACATCATGGTGTCTGCCACTCAGATTGTTTGCAGTTCAGCCTGCAGACTCATTCATTCTTTCAACAGATAGCTTTTGAGCACCAACCTAGTCTGTCCCCAAGCCCTGTGACCCCCAGGGTGGCTGTATATAACACTTAGTAAAAGCTAAAGGAATTTTTTTTTCTGTCTTGTTTTGTTTTTGTTTTGCAAATCTTAGGTCATGGAGAATGCAGCTTTATCTGTGACATGATTCGTGGTGCCAGGGGCAGCAGTGCTGGTGCAGGACCCTCAACACCTCTGATTCCCTTGAAGTTGGACTTTGGGCCCTGGAGGCCTCCTTGCACACATCAGCAGCTGCAACAGTGGTAGCATTGCCTTTGGTGGGCTGTGGTGACCTGGCTTGGAACATTGGCAGTAGCTGCTTACATCAGGCAAGGAGGATTGTAATTTGGCAGCTGGCAGAACTGTGCTTGGAGCACACCTGAGACATCCCGGAGCACCCTGACCTATTGGAAGTGGGGGATGAAACCTCCAGCAGAGGTAGGAAAATGTTATTTTGGAGCTTTGGTTGTTACTCTATGTAACATATGTTACACATAGAAGAACACTGAGTCCTTAAGGGAATCTATGACTTGGTTTTGGTCTTGGCAACATTTAAAGAAATTACATGTTGCTTCTTGTGATAAGGTTGAGGTAATGTGAGTGCAACGAACATGGTAGACTCAAAGATTAAATCTCAACATTTGGTTTTCTTTTTTTAAATAAAAAAGAAACCTAGCAAGATTATTATAGGTTCTGGGACATGAGGTTTTAAAAAAATCTCAGCACATATTCCTAATTTTTTTTCCTCTTTCAAAACATCCCTACACAATGAAACAACCTGTAAAATGAAACAAGATGTTGACGAGCTGTTCTTTGGCCCTGGCTGGCAGCTTATTGCATATTGAAAAGGAAAAAGAACTTTGGAAACAGCCACTCCTTTTCTGACAGAATTGTGAGAGATTGATGCCCTTTTCTTCATTTCTGCAGTGCCTATCTGCTGCAGATTTTCAGATACTTCCTGAAATCCCAAATTGATTTCTATTAAAAACATACTTGTTGTTCTTTCCCAAAACATGCTTGGGAATTTGAAGACCACAAGTCTCTGTAAGACAAGGAATGCTCCTGAGTAACCAGCATTTCACTGTAAGAGTCTAGTTCCTTTACTGCACTTAACTCAGTGTTTTCTGCACCCAATGAGCAAGGTGTTTGGTATGTCAACATTCCAACTAGATAGCAACACCTTGCAGATTTCCGATTTTATGGTGGAGGCATTGTTTTTTGATTACTATTTATTGAAAACCAACTTTTTAAGCCCAGGCAAACGAAAACAATGACTTTGTTTTGATACTTTAGTTCTAACCAACCCAGCCTATCCACAGTGGAATGTGGGTTGTGGCGTGGGGGAAGACATCAGGAGATTTGAGTTCCATCCAGCCCTGTTTTCATGGATAAGTCAATTCCCACTATGGGAGTCCGTTTCACTATTGGTAAAATTGGAGGTGGGGCAAATTGGCCCAAAGTTCTGTAATTAGTCCAGCGTTCTGAGGGGACAGTTCTAAAATTTTTTTTTCATTTGACTTTTTAATTTGATTTTTAGAGAGAAAGGAAAGGAGAGAGAGAGAGAAAGAAAGAAAGAAATGAAAGCAAAACATCAATGGGCTGCTTCGTACATGCCCCCTACAGGTAATCAAGCCCACAACCTGGGCATGTGCCCTGACCAGGAATCTGTGTGTGTGTGTGTGTGTGCGCGCGCGCACGGAACGACGCCCCACCAACTGAGTCACACTGGCCAGGATGAGTTCTGAATTCTTTAACCTTTAGATTATGAGAACACTCCCTGAAAGATTCTAATGATTGATTAAATATTTGAAAGAAAAATCACTTTGAGAGGACTCTCAGAGTCTATTGATACTATAGATTTCTTCTTTATAGAGAGTTGGGTACAAGTGACTGATGTTGTTACCAGTCAATCAGAAGTTTGTTTCTATATTAAAATAATAGAATTTAGTCTCTTGGAACATAAGTTAATAACAAGAATATCAAACATTTATTGAATTATGTTTTTACTCCTTCAGACTCTCGCCTGTCCTATTTATACACCCTCCCCCAAACCCTTTTTACACATGGCCTTATACTTGGGTTATCAGATTAATCGCAAGTACGGTTCTTCTCACATTACTTTCCTGTCAAAAGCCTTAATAACTCTGTTTACCACAATATAAAATACAAGCTCCTCATGGCATACAAGGTCCTGTGCCATCTGACCCACCCAGCTTCCCATCCTCATGGCACGGAAATGTTCATATTCTGGCTTTGTGCCTTTGTCCTGCTGGTTCTTGCTTCCTATTTCCACCTGTTCAGATTCTACCTATTTTTAAAGTTTAAGGCCAGGATTCTGCTCCCAGCTGTTCTTGGTCTCTCTCAGGTGCAGGCACTCTATCTTTTTTTCTGAACTTCTGTGGCAACTTAGCTTCATATTTCTCATAACAGTTATTACTTTCTACTCTACATTTTAGATATTTAGGTTTATATCTTATATTCCTTACTTAGATAATCAATTTCATGAAGTCAGAAGCAATATCTGTTCTGTATTGCTATTCCGCAAAGTACCTGGCACATAGTAGTTCCTCCACAAATTTTTGTTCAATGGATAAATGATATTGTAGTTACCATGGAAATCTGAACTTATCCCAACGCTTTCAACAAAATTAGAACCACTCACAGGGAATTTTTTCAACTGAGAAATTTCTCCATTTACCATCTCTCATCTATCTATCTATCTATCTATCTATCTCAGCTTATATCTAATTTTATTAAGGAAAATTTGGAAAAAAGAAAAATGTGAAAGATATAAAAACTACAGGTTTTGCAAGTAATTAGTATCCAGTTCCCTTCCTTCAAGCCTTGTGCTGTAGTCAGCTTTCATGATTTAGATTCACATGAGTTTGTGTACTGTGATGCTCAAATATTTGTTAAAGCTTATGTAACTCTATGAGAAAGATCAACACTAACTCTGTAGGTGCTGCATACCAGTTTCGATCCAGTGAGATGAAGCACTGCTATATGTGGGGCACTGAGAAAAGTCATGGCCTTGTTTTGGGGGGGTTGGTGGGACCAAGAGTCCACCAACTCAATGGAACCATAAAAAGAATGAAGCACTGATACATGCTATAATGTAGATGAACCTTGAGAACATTAGAAGTAAAAGAAGCCAGGTTCAAAAGGCCACATATTATACTAGAGGCCTGGTGCTTGGGATTCGTGCACTGGTGGGGGGCGTTGCCTGCGGGGATTGGCCCCCTGTGGGAGCACAGCTCATCCAGGTCAGCCGAGTGGCTGTGGACCCGCCCTTTGAGTGGCTGCTCCTTGGTCTGGCATCTTCCATGGAGCCGGAGCACTCACCTCTCCAGGGGACCTGGTCAGGGCCAGGCCCAGGGGCAGTAGCACTGAGAGGCGGTGGAATAGGCCTCAGTCCTGCGGCGGCCACAAACCCGCCTTCCAAACTCTGGGGTCAGCTCTGCGAGCCCAGGGGTGGCGCTGTGCAGCCTGCAGGCATCCAGAGGAGGCAGCAGGGAGCAAGGAGGAGGAGCCTGGGGCGAGGAGGCAATGATCGCAGCCTGGGTTCCTGCCCGTTGGCCCAGGGTTCACAGTGGGAGCAGCCGCTCATCCTGGTCAGCCAAGTGGTGCTGCCACTGTGGTAGCACACTGACCACCAGCAGACAGCTCCTACGTTGAGTGTCTGCCCCCTGGTGGTCATTGCACGTCATAGCGACTGGTCAACCAGTTGTTCTCGTAGTTCTGGTCTTTCTATTGTTTGGTCACTGGGCTTTTACTATGTAGGATGATTCCGTTTATATGAAACTTTCAGAATAGGTAAATCCATAGAGACAGAAAGTAGATTCTTGGTTGGCAGCTGCTGGGGGTAGGGAGTAGGGAATGAAATGAGAGTGACGGCTAAAAGATGTGTGGTTTCTTTTTGAAGTAATTAGAAGAGAGGTGGTTCCACGACCTGACCTCTGTCTTTCCCACAAGCTGAACCTGGACCAGAACGGAAGTCGCTTTCCACAAACCCCTCCTAGAGGTTGTCTAATCATAATTGACTCCTGTAATGTGCTGGTTCCTGGAACAGCTGGTTGTTTGTCCTGACCTGGTCAGCATGTAAGGTAATTGCTGTGTCTGGTAGCATTCACGGACTAGTACCCGTGACATTCCCCCACTTTACCCTGTATACTAGTAATTCTCTGGTGCCTGCCAAGTGGTGCCAGGATCCACTTCATCTTTCAGCCACCCAAGATATGCCTCACATGTAAGTTTCCCTTAGGAAACGCTACTAATTACCAGGCTGGAGTGGCCAATCTCTTCCTTCAGTCTTTCCCTGCCCTCCACTTATGGAGTCTTTTCCTGCCCAGCATTTTCAATGTTGGGGCTTTTCCTTGGGTCTTGTGTATACTAACAGGTGATGAAAATGTTTGGACTTCATTAGAGGTTATAGTTGCACAACTTTGTGAATATACTAAAGACCATTAAATTGTACACTTTAGAGGGGTGAATATTATGGTAAGTGAATAAAAAAATACCAGTAGAAGATTCTGTACAAGGCGGTTTTCCAGAGGTTTTGTCCGGCCAATACTGAAGAGTAAAAAGATGGTTGTCATTGAGACTTCAATACACTTGCTCTTAATGGTCACTGTGTTTTATGATAGTTGAGCAGAGATCTGCCAAATGCTTCTTCCCTCCTTGTATGGGCTGAAAATAAAAGTCCATAGCTGCTGTGTTCCAGTGAAATAAAACCTTTATGTGTTGCCTTGTAATTTTTTAAGTACTTTCATCTTCATTAATTCATCTGAGTTTTATGTTTTATTCTAAACATATTTATATTTTATACCTATTATTTATAATCATTCATCCATCATGAAAATGGAAAAATTCTATTTCTTATAGATGCAGCATATTTCTATTAGATTTTTTTGCTGACCCTTTCTTTGCTTCATTCCCCCCATACTAATCTATTGTACCCATGTATGTCCACTTTTCCTGACTTCATGTTTCTGCTTTTCGAGCCTTATTTTTCAAGATGGTGATTTGTTCTTCATCTTTTCCTCTTCTTCTGATTTATATCCATAAATTTTTTTTCTTTGAAATCATTTTGGCTAGATGACTCCAAAAATATTTAATTATAACCTTTGTAATGGTAGTTGCTGCACTATATTGAGCATTTTTATTGTAGAACCATTTGTTAAAACATTTTGTAAGATTTTTCTGTTTTATATGTAATATAAACTATATTTATTTATATTATTTTATTTTCTGTGGCCTCTTATGGATTTTTAATACTCACATTTATTATTTATTCTTTTATAAATATACATCTCCTTTAAGAGTACTTTGATTATCATACTATTTAGGTCCTCATTACTTTACCTTCCATTGATGATCCTTTATCATATCTTCTGCAAAGATATCCCTCTTCTATTTATCTTGGACAGATGGAATTTGAA